TCGTCATTTTTCGCGACGGTGTCGGAATAGGCTGAAATTTGGCAGGTTGATGTGAAACAAAAATCGCGCCGGGTGCAATTTCGTAAATTTTCTCGACGGTTTCGGAATGGGCTGAAATTTGGCAGGTTGATCGGAAAGAAAAATCGTGCCGGGGGCAATTTCATCATTTTTAGCGACGGTGTCGGAATGGGCTGAAATTTGGCAGGTTGATAGGAAACAAAAATCGCGCCGGGTGCAATTTCGTCATTTTTCGCGATGGTGTCGGAATGGGCTGAAATTTGGCAGGTTGATTGGAAACAAAAATCGCGCCGGGGGCAATTTCGTCAATTTTGCGACGGGGTCGGAATGGGCTGAAATTTGGCAGGTTGATCGGAAAGAAAAATCGCGCCGGGGGCAATTTTGTCATTTTTCGCGACGGTGTCGGAATGGGCTGAAATTTGACAGTTTGATCGGAAAGAAAAATCGCTCCGGGGGCAATTTTGTCAATTTCGCGACGGCGTCGGAATGGGCAGAAATTTGACTGGTTGATCGGAAAGAAAATCGCGCCGGGGGCAATTTCGTCAATTTCGCGACGGTGTCGGAATGGGCTGAAATTTGATTGGTTGATGGGAAACAAAAATCGCCCCAGGTGCAATTTCGTCATTTTTCGTGACGGTGTCGGAATGGGCTGAAATTTGGCATGTTGATGTGAAACAAAAATCGCGCCGGGTGCAATTTCGTCATTTTTCGCGACGGTGTCGGAATGGGATGAAATTTGGCAGGTTGATTGGAAAGAAAAATCGCGCCGGGGGTAATTTCATCAATTTCGCGACGGTGTAGGAATGGGCTGAAATTTGACTGGTTGATCGGAAACAAAAATCGCGCAGGGTGCAATTTCGTAATTTTTCGCGACGGTGTCGGAATGGGCTGAAATTTGGCAGGTTGATCGGAAAGAAAAATCGCGCCGGGGGCAATTTCGTCATTTTTCGCGACGGTGTCGGAATGGGCTGAAATTTGACTGGTTGATCGGAAACAAAAATCGCGCCGGATGCAATTTCGTCATTTTTCGCGACGATGTCGGAATGGGCTGAAATTTGTCAGGTTGATGTGAAACAAAAATCGCGCCGGGTGCAATTTCGTCATTTTTCGCGACGGTGTCGGAATGGGTTGAAATTTGGCAGGTTGATCGGAAACAAAAATCGCGCATGGGACAATTTCGTCAATTTCGCGACGGTGTCAGAATGGGCTGAAATTTGAATGGTTGATCGGAAACAAAAATCGCGCAGGGTGCAATTTCGTCATTTTTCGCGACGGTGTCGGAATGGGCTGAAATTTGGCAGGTTGATTGGAAAGAAAAATCGCGTCGGGGGCAATTTCGTCATTTTTAGCGACGGTGTCGGAATGGGCTGAAATTTTGCAGGTTGATTGGAAACAA